GACTCGTCCAAGCAGTCACTGCAGGGTCAGCAATGACTGAGCGCAGACAAAAAAAAAAAGGTTTTTAAATTAGCATTCAAAACAATGGAAACAGCAGTTAAATATTTTGTCCAGCCATCTACACAGTTATAGCAACCCACAACAGCATTACAAATAATGTTTATGGCTCTGGGGATGGAGCTTCTCTTTCCTCCTAACACTCAACACTCAAACAGCTATTTGGCATAATGGCATTTCTGTATTTGTCAACTTACTCCCAAAACTCAATAAAACAAAACTAATACAAGTCTTTACATTTAGCATGAAGTAAAAAAAATCAATCTCAAAAACAACATGTAAATGTGATCCCCCCCACCCAAAAAAAGCAAACAAAAGCAAAATGGTCTTTGCATTTTACAGTTTAGAACCTGAAAGCCTCAACAGCATAATTAGCAACACTTGCATAATGCACAAAAATACGTAAAATGTAATCCAGCAATTCTGACTTCCTCAGACAACACACATACAAATAAAAATAAAAAGAACAAGCTTATCCATCCAGCAGGCAGGCAGCTGAAAGCAAAGCTCAGGATGGGAACAGCCATCCAGAAACATCTGCATGGATATAGCATCCTGTGTGATTCGGGTCAGTCAGAGACTGAGATCTAGCTGCAGCATTTGCTTCTGAATATATGCTCAAGTAACATTTTGCTGCCACCTCACCTTTCGACCCTAGTCCTCCTCCCCTCTCCTAGTCTCAGCCAATAGCAATAGGGATGAAACTGGCTACATTGAAGAAACATTAAACATCCTATCAATCACAACAAGCTAATCACAGGACTGAAGATTCTCAGAACACTTGAAACAATGGACCTTTAAAAACATGCACTGTCTTAAGCTAGGATAGAACAAAACACTTAGAACACCAATGTTTTGTTTCAAATCTGAAACCTTAGGAGTTGTCCAGAAAGAAATTGTGCAGGCAGGATCTTAGATATGAAAAAAAAATTGTACTCTACAGAACCTGTGGCAGACTATGATTTGCAATGGCTATAAAATTGTAAAATAAAATACTTGTATGAGTTTTTAATAAAATATTACATAACCCATCAATTACTTTATTTGGAAAGAAAACCTTTCAAAATATTAATTTTCTCCTTAAAAATACATGTAACTAGAAAACTTTCTTCCTTCTCAAGCCTGCTTATTGTTTGTTTTTTTTAATTTAAAAATAACATTCTGTCAATTTCAGTCACAAAATTTAAAAAGATATTTTTGGTACCTGCCATCCTGCTTGCGATAATCTTGTTGCTGTTCTATTCTGATCATTGGTTTCACCATGCTTCGTTCAGCTGTACTGGAAGTTGACATTCTGTCACTGTCCAATCTGTTGGTGCTCTGCTCCGTACAACACACATTGAGAACTTATTTTAGTGGACTGAAATTCACCTCTGTAAGAAATCCCATAAATCTTTGCAAACTTCTCAAAGATTTCTCTTATTAAATCTAGTAATAATGAACATGCTTTCTGAAAAACTGCTTATCGCTCTTTCTAAAACCAAATGATGTTGCCACTGAAGGTGCACTGTCCACTCCCATATGGTATTCCAATAGTACAGCCAAGTACAAACCTCCTTCCAATATTTTGCATAAAGTCAACGAAAATGTTATTTGACAAATCAGTCTGAAAAGGACTCCCTGAACTTTAAAAATAATTCATCAAATCATTCAAAGCACTAAACAGAAAACTTAATGGTTATACTAAGATGTTCCTGTATTCTTAAAATACATTTAAAGTATCAACCATTAAGTCTGGTACTCATGCTATTCAGTCTAATAATGTTACCTTGCTTGTAGATAGTCCTGTTATACTATGGATGTCTCCTTCCAAATCAAATGTAGTTTCTTGTACACCTCTGAGAAGGCAATATACATTCAAGAACTAGATGATTAGGAATATACAGTAACATAAGCATATAAAATACAGGCAAAGCTTACCCAATTGTTCAGTATTTATTATTATTTGTAAATTCACCATGCATTTGATTCACATGAAAGCATAAAGTATATGAAAGTGTGAAGAATGGCTGTGCACATTTCAGTTTGAACTGTTTTAGGCATGTAATTCCACATTTTAAGTTTGTGAAACACTCTGGGTATTTTGAAAGTGTCTTTACCTCAAAACAGAGCGGACCGAAGCTCAAACCAACCAATTTATACTTGAAATAGAAATCTCTGCAACATTTCATGCTCATTATGGTTCAAAATGAAATGTATTAAGCCCTCGCAATATAAAAAGGTTTTTTTTGTTTTTTTAAATTGAAAGACAATTTAAAAAATAGTATCCTTTTATTTTTTCCAAGCCTGAACATTTTATTTATCAGTTATTCTTTTGGCAATCTTGGACAGTGCAGAAATGCTATACAAAATGTTTTAAACAAATAAGAGTATTGTGGCTTCTCATTCTTTTCAGGTCTAATTTCAGATAATGTAGAATATCTTTAAAAACTTTTCCTCTGCATCTTTTCCAGATCTTTTCCAATGGACTGAACAGAAATTAATAGTCATACTGTACTTCCATTTGAGGACAGAAATGCTATTATGGTATCTTTCAGAGAACTATCTAAAATACTTAGTTGGCAATAGTCAGTTTAAAACCCTAAAGACGATTATTCTTTTCTTCCACTGATATAAGCTGAATTTTATCGTCTTATACTACATATTCTTACAAAATTACAAGATCCTACAAGAAGTCCAGTTAATGTATTTAAGTCTCTAAATAAATAGTCTCACCTGCCACATTTACTTATTTCATAATCTTATAGGGAACTGGTACTTTATTTTTGTTTATGCTATTACTTTTTTAAAAAATAAATTAGCTATACTATGTTGCCTTTGAGAGTTTTATCAGACCTAGACCCACTAGACTTTGGCTTTAGGTCTGGGTATGGGATTGAAACCAGTTCTGTCACCCTAGAATATGATCTATACTGGAAGCTAAACAGGAGTACAATTCTGATTGTACTTGCTGAACCTCACAGCAAAAAAGTATCCTTCTTAGACAACCCAATGGGAATGAACTTCATAGGTACCAGTCCTTTGTCAGAAGTCAATTTCAAAAGATGGCAAATAGGGTAGGTCTTACGTTGATGGGAAACAGCCTTCTTCAGGGCTACACCTAAATTGTACAACTCCCCCCTGCCTTGGAAGGTAGATTGGCCCCACTCAGATGACCCTTTGCCATCAGTTGGTTAAGACCTTCTTTATGATGACATTAGTTCCACAGTCAAAATAAATTCCATTTTAATTACGATATCTGTCTTCTTCTATAACTCTTCTTTGTAACTTTTAATTGCATCACCTTATATTTTTTTTTAGTTGTCATTAGGTGCCTGAATGGTCCATAAGCACTAGAAGGGTAAAATATAAATGTATATATTGATTTCTGCTAATGTATTACCAAATCCTAACATTAATTCTAATTATGAACAAATGTGAATTACAGAAGAGTTCATACAATGGAGAACAATTACAAATGAGCAGATTAACATGATTATTAGTTGGCACATTACATGAAACACTGATATGCCTTCACCATCTTAAATAATTTTCTGAATTTGGGATTACTTCTTAAAAACTGTGGATTTACCCAGATTTGAGTCGTGAACTTTTGACCATGTGACCTGCATCTAGACGTCCTTTAGGAATGTGATCTTGAATGGGGTCCACAAATTTAAATACATGAGAGGTCCCAAACTGAACTTTCATACCACTTTGCAGCATAGTGGTCTCAGAGATCCGCTGACCTTCTACATAAGTTTCAGCATCAATGCTTCTTGGAGTAACTGTAACAACTCCATCCATGTTAGTTAGGTCACAGTGATGAGACTGAATTCCTGGACCAAATAACTGAAGATACAAATAGTCGAATCAAAAGCAGAAAAATCAGGACTTAAAAAAAACTATAATAAATATGCAATCATCTGTATAACTTATTCAGAGAGATGTCCATTTTCTCTCATAAAACCATAGCATGCTGCTACATTACCTTTGTGAATATCTATGTACATTCATAAACTGATGTAATAACTAGGCTATATTACTAGGAATAAAATATGTATGCCATCAAGTATCTTTGCTGATTCAAGCAGCATGAATTATTCTCACACTACTATACGATATTATCAGTTTCAGTCTGTAAGTTATCTGCATTTCTAATAATATTGCCTCTGTGGGTGGGGGGTGGGGGTTCAGTGACAAAGACAGTGGGCACAACCAGGCAATCAAAGTCCTCCCCTTTTTAAGGTGTGTTGCACACATCATCACACAGACATAAAAAGGGAGGGTTTGATCACCCTGTTGTGCCCACCATTTTGACATTGTTGACCCCCCCCCAGATATCCCTGATATTAATCCCTTTTTAATAATACATGGTAATAATTCATGGTAATTCATATTGATACATGAAAATGAGTCAAAATAACCAAACCTCTCCCCTTAAAACTGGGTAATTTCAGTGAATGATCCTCAACACTATAGAAAGAGAAGAAAACTTTTTTGATCCATATTTTTAAATGAGATCATCTAATCATACTTAATGGTGGAAAGCTGAGAAACTTAGCAAAATCAAATTTGATACCATCACCACTCCCATGAAATCAGAATGATTGAATATAGAACCCTGATGGGTAGGAAACTAACAGCCTCCCGGCAGAGATCAGGCTAGCCCCCTCGTTCCTAGTCTTGAGAAAAATATTTAAAACAGAATTCTTTGAGGGGGCTTTCTCTTAATTCCCTTTTATTGTTTTTTTTTCTATGTGTTTTTTTAAATGGTAATTTTATTATGTTATTTTTGTATTTTTAATTGTACCATCAATGTTTTAATTTTTTTTATATAACAAGACCTGAAAGATCAGGTTAGAGACAGATCATCATGAAGAAAATCTACCTATGTGGTCGCTAGCACATAATCAATCAATCAATCAAATATTATGTAAGCTGCACAGAGTTGTTACATTGTAATGGGATAAATATTTAATTAATTAATGACCAATTCACCAATTCCCTTTTAAAAAAATGTTCATATAGTAAAATGTTGTTTTATTAATATGTAGCCTATTTCAACTTACCACAATTTATACTATTAAACTACTAAAACACAGCAGTTAAATTCATTTTTTTTAAATCAAATCGTTATTTACTTTTGTTATGTTTTATCTTCTTGAAGTAAATTGAAAAGCATATTTGTTACTGAGAAGTGATGACTGCAAAGTTTAAATGAGATGTTTCTTAGTATTTTTCCAACCAAAATCTTACTTATGCTCAGACATGTTGAACTTACAGTTTTCTTAGTCAGTAATTCTTGCCTAATCATGTCCCTCATTAATTTTGTGGTTGTGAATTATTTTCAAATGTAATTGTGGCAAAATGTTTTTAATGAAGAGAGAAATCACAACTGGGAAAATCTATTAATGCTGAACAAAATGGTACAAAAAGTATTTTAGAAATCAATGATGAAACAAAATTACAAAATTAACCAAGCCATGGTTAAATAATACAAGACTACTTTAGGCTTGTGAGCATCTTCATCCTTTCAGTACTAATTTGCCACTATAGGAATCCAATATTTCCGAGTACAATTTAAAATACATCACAACTGCCATCAGATTGGAATACAAACCTGGATCAAATGGTAGCATAACTGCTAGTTTGCAAATCCACAATTGTCTGTGCAGACCATTATTTGCTGGACTTTTTACAAATAGTGATCAAAACTCCTTACAGAAGAGGAGTTTGAAACATATAAGCCCAAGACCCTTATGGCTCATTTCAAAATAACAGAGCACAAACCTGTATTAGCCTTGAACAGCCTTCAAGATTGTCCCCCTTCCCTCCTACTGACTACATAGTTGTTTATAACTTTTACAACTAGTCTTTTTTTTTTTTTAGGTATCCACTGTTACTAAAATTCCTAAATACTCAAATCAGTATAGTGTGTGGTTATGAGAAGGATTTGATAATGGTTTTGGAGAACTGTTTTAAAATACTGCTTAAGTCTATGTTATGAAGTTAAGAAATTAGCATGCAACTTCTCTCCTCCAGCATCACACAAAACACTGCAAGTTCTTCAAATGTCCCAATAGACTTTTGTGTATTGAAATGTTAAAGAACAATTCACATTGTACGCCCTGCCTCACTTGGAAATTCTGCATTACATATGTGACAAAGATATTTTAGCCTCCCAACTGTATTTTGCAACATTTTATATAAATATGCTAAAATGTGGCTTATAGACATAATTCTTTAATACTCTGATATTTGAACACAACTCTTACAGAATTATTTGTTTCAACATAGTATTGCTCACCTGAATGGAGTTGTCATCAAATTTTTCTGTACCAACTTCGGTCACACTTAGTTGCAAACGGTAGAGCTTTGGTTTATCTCTGGAGTCAGAACCATCTGTAAGAATGGATAATTTTATTTATGAAACTAAGTAAATTGCACTGATTTTTAAGGAATAAACACATGGTGTGTCAAAATGCCACTTCAAAAGTAATTTTAACTATGTTTAAAAGTCAATCCTTCCTCTCTGTGCCACCAAAAAGCTGCTCTTGAGAATCATCCCTTCCTCTGCTAAATCTTATTTTCTTCCTTTGCAGAAGGAAAAGTTTGCTTTTAGTGTTAATGCTTTCCATTCTATATATTTTCATTTATGTGCTATTAAAAGAGTAAATATAACACTTTTAAACTATATAAGAAATATGGAAAGGGAAGATGAGCTATCCAGATTTCTATTAAAAAATATTAAACAGATTCCAGCTTTTAAATATTTTAAGGTAACAATATCACTTATGACTTCCCAAGTTATCAGTTATGAGATACATCTATTTACACCTATTCATCTTGAACTATGTAAAAATGTCTCACACCAATAAACCCTGCCATTTGATTGATTGTACATGGTTACAAAATACAATTTGCTGGTTATCCTAAAAGATCAGAAGCATTATGTAGCTTTGGCGCGTGACCCCCTATGTGCTAAATATTTATCCTGGATGCCCAATTATTGTATTTCACAAATTATTTTTATTTGAACATTTGCATTACATAGGTATGGCAATATCCATGTCAATAATTCTGATGAAATAATGTTTAGAAAACAGTACTGTGTTATATTCTTCATTTTCGTAACTTCTATTCAGGTGTTAAATTGTTATCACAATCTAACAACAAATCAAAGTAGAAATCCTAAACAGAATTCTCATTTGCAGTGCAGTAAAAAGTAGGGCATATGCTGAATGCCCAGATAAACTGATTGACCAACCGATTAGGCTCAATTCTGTTAAGAGTAAGTGCCAAATTATAGAGCATATCACTTGATCCAAAATTTTAAACAATGCTAGTACTCACTTCCATACTTCATACTTTCTACACACACAAAGCCAGATCCTATGAAAGCTAATTGAAGAAAACCTTATGTATACTCTTCTGAGCCCCTTGTAGAAGAAACACAAATTACAGGAAATACCATGCATAGGATTTTTACTTACAGGAGAAAGACTGGATAAAACAACACACCTACTAATGCTACTGTAAATTCTGACCAAACATAAAATCTTTGTAGCCATAAATGGCCAGTGAGTTTCACCCCGCCTGCCCCATGTTAATAAACTGTTCAGAAGGGGTGTATGAACCACTTTGTGCATAAATTGTTACATGCAGAGAATACTTCATGATCCAACTGAAATGTTGGTCTGGATATGGACTGAAACAGGGCTGTTTTGTTCTGGATAATGATTGAAACATGGTTGTTCAAAGCAGGAGTGATGGTGGGGGAAGTAAAAGCAGAAAAAAAAACAAAGCCAACAGCTTTCTTTGGTGGTCACAGCTCAAGGGAGGGAGGGAGGGGAGGGAAATAAGGGAAAGCATTGGGAAGATCATGGAAAGGGCAAGTATGGGAGTGGGGGGAGCTTTAAATGTTTGTTTCTGATAATTACTAATGTAACAAATATAATTACATTGGGCCACAAGAATAGATTGAATGGCAGAAAAATCTAAAACCAATGTGATAGATAGACAGACAGACAGATCTTCAGACAAGTTAACATATATATTAATGATTTCCAGTGTCTTCAGTTTTCTCCATTAAATAATTCAGGGAATTCAACTGCTATTGAAATCTGTTTTAAAGTGTTTACAAGTATTCTAATATAAATAATCCCCCAGGTAGTGATTTATATTTGAGGCAAGCTAAATAATTAGAGATGTACAGTTGTGTGAAAAAGAAAGTACACCCTCCTTGAGTTGTATGGTTTTACGTATCAGGATATAATAAAAACCATCTGATCTTTAGCAGTTCTCAAAAGTAGGTAAATACAACCTTAAATGAACAACAACACATGACATATTACACCATGTCATCATTTAT